CTCTCTCTCTCTCTCTCTCCTCCCTCTCCCTCTCCCTCTCTCCTCTCTCCCTCTGTCTCTCATAGAATGAAAATGATCCATGCTTGGCAAAAAAGCTAGAAGATGAAAACTTACCCCAAACCCTTCATTACTTTGCCTTATAATATTTTTCAGTCCTTCCTTCCTGAGGTTTTAACCCAGAGGTGCTCTACCTTTGAGTTACACCTCCAATGCTTTTTTTGTTTTGTTTTAGACAGGGTCTCACTAAGTTACTCAGTCTGGCCTTTTACATACAGTCTGTCTGCCACAGTCTCCCCAGTAGCTGAAATTTCAGGCAAGTTGCCACAGTGCCTGGCTTTTTCAGAATATCTTGTGTGTACGGATTCTAGAGCTAGAACAGCGTGTGAAGGCTAGACAGACTAATTCTTACTCATTACATCCCTCTAGAAAAGGAATGGACCATCACAGGCTTTAAAACAAAGCAGACCCCAGGCACAGTGGTGCACACTGGAGAGGCTGAAGCAGGAGGATCATTTCAGCCCAGGAGTTCAAGGTAGCCGGGAGAACTTGGCTCTTTAAAATCATAATAAAACAGACTAGAATCTGTGGCTTGCTGCGTCTATCTTCTGTCCTCTGATCTGCTATTTCCTCTGCCTAGGGCATTTTTCTCCCCTAGTATCTTTATCTGTCTTGCTACCACCAGGTCCTGGCCTGAAATCTGAGATACAGGACACCTGGTAATATGTGGCTGCCTGTGCCCTTCAGTTTGTCTGTGAGAGCTCGAGAAGTGACAGTTTGCTCCTCCCAGCCTTGATCTGTTGTCATTGAGACCTTATTAGCCTTAAATGGCATGCCTTCTGAGTAGCCTAGTTTACATCCTTTCCAGGATTTGGTCAACTCATGTGTCCCTCTGGTGGGAGAGGCCTAGTGTTATTATAAAAAAGATTGGGTGGGAAGACAGAAGGCCTGGGGTCTGTCATTCCCTGGCTTGTTTTTTATTTATTTATAATGCTAGGGATTGAACTGAGGGCCTCCTGCATATTTTCTACCATTGAGCCACACCCAGTGCCAACTGCTGCCTTAGAGGCCAGTTTGGTCCTCTGTAAAGGAGCCTGCCCTGGCAGCGTTCTATAAATTTTCTCTTTTCCTCTGGTCCTTCTATTCATTATGTCCTTCTTTGAAGCCAGAGAGTCTGTCAACCTTCTATAAGCAAGGAAAGGCCCATGGCTCCAACCCTTAAAAGACCTGAACGATTTGATGAGAGTTTATAACAAGTGTCCTCATAGTCTTTCCTCAGACGTTTGTGGCTGTGTCTGCTCCAGGTCTGTGCTGATCATAGGAAAGGTAGCAAGAGAAGTAGAGCCCTGGGTAGTATCTTCGCAGAGCACATAGTTTTGTAGGGTTTGTGGTGCTAGAACCTCTTCCTAGAGGTAGTTTCCAAGTTCTTTCTGTCCTGCACAAACAATTGGTCAAGATAAGCACAACAGTGTCAAGGTTTTACCTTTATTAAAGATAGGAAAAGAAACAGGCTCTGCAGAGCAAGTTTGGGCCAAGAAGTAGGAAAAAAGGCACAGTGTACAGCATGAGAAGACACAGGGGCGGAAACTCCATGGTGGTTATCCATTTTGTATCTTCTACTCCTCAGTGACATCAGGTTGAGGCTGTCCTGTTGAAAGCCCCCTTTTAGGGCTTTGGGAAGTGTTCTACATATTCCCTGAGATTTTGTAATTAATAGGACACATGTACTTCCCCAGCCAGTTGTGCCACTCCCTGGTCTCGCCCCTCAGTAGGCTATTGAGCACCCAGAGTTGGAGCCATAAAAGATCATTTATGGGGCTGCAGATGTCTCTCAGTAGTAGAGTTCTTGCCTAGGATTGTGTGAGGTCATAGGTTCAATTCCCAGTACTACTCCCCCAAAAGTAAAAATAATCTAGCTACAGTTTTAGCCAGTACTTCTCAAAAGGAGTGGGAGTCACCTGGGAAATTTATTCCTCCACAGTTGAGAATGACATCATTTTGTGTGGAACTTGGTTTTGGCCCACATCTGGGGCACCCTAAGACTAGAGGTTAATGTCTCTCCTGGCGCTGAGATCGGTCCTGGAGCCCAGGAGTCTGTTGTCTGCTGTCTTCTTCCCATCCATATTCCTTGTAGGAGGAACAATGCCAGCTCTGCCCCTGGATCAACTGCAGGTCACCCACAAGGACCCGAAGACAGGAAAGCAGAGGACTTCACCAGCGCTGGTGAGCAGGGCCTCGAGGCCATTCAGCCTGATTATTATCAGTATTGCAATTTTAGAAGCAAAAAGTAAATTCCTTCCTTATCTGTTCCAAGAATGACCCAAGGGCCGTAGTTAGTAATTCAGAAGCTGAGACACTACCAGGTCCTTTCAAGCCCAGTGTGGAAGTTTCCTTCGGAGCAGCAGCCCAGATGTGGGTATTTTCCATGTCACCACCCCATCCCCACACTCCCACCCAAAGCATTTAATTTCCATTCACTTGGATGGCAGTTCTGATGCAGCCCAAGCAGGGCTAGAAACAGATCCAACCCTATAACCGTGTTTGGGGATTAGACCCTGCAGAGGTGTTCAGGTTTCAGGTAGGACTTTTTCAGAGTCTTTGAAAAAAAGGAAAAAAGGTGCACTATGCAGTGGGAACACTGTATCTTAAAAAAGAAGAAAGGTTCACTCCAGTGGCTATGCACATTTTGGTGGGACACTGCAGAGGTTGGGCTGTCTTTTATCTTTCCTGGGATAAGAAGTGCCACATAAAGAGACTCCATCAGTGCTTGTGAGACTGAAAATTAAGGAGGCTGTGAACCTGCCAGTTCCCAGCTGGAGAGAGAGATTAGAGCCATGGAGAGGTGCCAGTCTACTAAGAAAGGAGACAGATGCAGGCACTGGAGTCCTATACCCACACGTTGGTTTCCCAAGAATATGAGTTTATTTGATCAAGTTTGGGAGGAAGTATTTTCTAGGGGCTTGAGTAAAGTCGTGGGAAACAGTCTGGTTTTTTATGTCCTGCCTTGTGGATGGCTTCTTATTACTTCCTAAACAGTCTGTAATAATAGTACCAAACATTTAGAGAGTACTTATTCTGGGTCAAGCATTCTAAACACTTTACCTGGATGATGTCATTGAAGCCACGTCACAGTCTGATGGGTATTTCATCCCCGTTTTACAGATGAGGAAACTGACTTTAGGGTCGCAGGACTAGGAAACTAGGAGAGCCGAGATGGGAAGCCAGTCTGGCTAATCCTAGAACCTCACATCCTTAACCTGTATCTTATAAAGCTTCTTGTTTGCTTTGAATAACCTTTTACTCTATGGAGGATATTTATCAGAAAATGTAGGACTGTACTGTTAGGAAAGGTAGCCATCCAATAGGTAGCTACATGTCACTATTGAGTACTCGGATCGTGCCAGCGTTTGAAATGTGGACTGAAGAACTGGATTATAAATGAATTTAAATGAAAACAGCTCTCTGTGATGAATGCCTACTGCATTGGCCAGCCAGATATAGAGAGATGAGATTCTGCTATCACGGGAAGTTCTGGATGGTGCAGTGGAGACTGGCTCCTATGTTAATCCTGATTTCCTACCTCGGTCCTTTCCTGTGTATGGAGTGAACACCTGGGTTGTTAGCTGGGGCTCCAGGAGGGCGAAGGCTTACTCTTCCCTTCACCTCTGTCTTCTCAGTGGTGAGCACGTAGGAGACTCTCAGGAGACATTTGGTAGATGAATTCAGGAGCACCGCCAGCCCTAGTGCCAGGTGCTGGAGCAAAGATGAGAAAGAGGAAAGAGATAAAAAGAAAAAAGACGTGGTCCCTGCCCGTGTGGAGCCCACAGTCCAGGGGAAGACACATCAGTAGCTCTTTGACAGCATGATCAGGGTTGCGATGGAAGGAAAGCCAGGCTGTGACACGAGCAGAGCTGGGCCACTGATCCAGACCAGTGAGGTGGTAATAGGGACAAGAAGGACCTGGGCCAGTGGGAGGGCACTTGCACTCAGAGAAGGCGTCCTGTAGGAGGGTGAATAAACACTGGCCAGGCAGAACAGTGGGAGAAGGGAGGACTGGGTAAGGAACTTGAGTAGTGGTATAAGCCTGACTCTTACAACAGCCACCAGCAGCAGGATTGCAGAGCTAAGGAGCACAGGCTTTGCATTAATTTCAGATGTATTTGGCAAGCTGCAGGGTCCAAAGAGGTTAATAATAGGCCAAACTTGGTGGGATGGCTGTGAGGATTAAATGAAACATCTGTGAATTAACACAGTGCCTGGAACGTAGTAAGCACTTAATAAATTTCAGTTATGATGGTAATGACAGTAGCCATAGTGATAGCAGCATTGAATGGGGTTGGGGAGCAAGAGGGGTGAACTGAGGGGAACAGCTGTCTGATGGAGGAAGGGTCTTCTTCTTGGCCATACTAAAGAGCATCACCCTGCGTGCTAAGGATGCTGTGGAAGTGTTTTGACAACCCATATTTGTCTCTCGATTTTCAACTTGGGGCACAAAGATCTGCAGCCAGGGAGCAGTCACTGCACTGCCTTTGGAGGGTGAGAGCTGCAAGTACTGCTTAAAGAACAGTGCAAACAATTTCTTAGCAAGATCCTCAGAGGTTCGATGGGCAGTGGTTATTCTCATAGCATCTCAGAGCAGATAGGACCTGATAGTTACTTTCTTTGTTACTAGGACACAATACTGGACAACCACAACTTAAAGGAAGAGAGATTTATTTTGGCTCACGTTTTAGTAGTTTCAGTCTTGCTTGGCTGGCTGTCACCAAGATGGGACAGCATGGCACAGGGACATGGCAGAGGAGAGCTGCTTTCTTGTCTACATGATAGACAGGAAACAGACAGCAAAAGAAGCCAGGGAAGGAAATAAACCCCAAGTGACCTGCATTTTTAAACCAGACTGTACCTTCTAACTGCATGTCAGCTCTACGCCCCCATAGTTTAATCAGCTTCCCAAAGTCCGCCTGTGAGTCTATCTAGTAACTTTTACCTCCATCCAACCCTTCGCCCAGCCAGCACATACGTATAGAAAGTTCATAGGAAGACAGACATAGGAGCTGATAAGGCCATACTACCTCTGGAGATATGTAACTGGTGGGAGGCATAATTGAGAAGGCAGATTCTCACTTTTTTTTTTTTTTTTTTTTTTTTGTACCAGAGATCAAACTCGGGTCCTTGTGTTTGCAAGAGACAGGCTGTGAAGCCACTGAGTTAAATCCCCAGCCCAGATTCTTACTTTTTATGTAACTTTATTATATTGTTGAAAGGCAGTAAGCTGGGCGTGGTGGCGCACACCTGTAATCCCTGCACAGGATCGCTGTGAGTTCAAGACCAGCCTGGGCTACATAGTGAGTTCCAGGTCAGTCTCAACTACATAGTGAGACCCTGTCTCAAAAAAAAAAAAGTAAAGTTTTACTGCCTTTCTTTTTTTTTTTTTTTTTTTTTTTTTTTTGAGACAGGGTCTCACTATGTAGTTCAAACCAGCCTTGAACTCCTACTCACTATATAGCCCAGGCTGGCCTCAAACTCATGGTGATCCTCCTGCCTCAGCCTCCTGAGTGCCAGGATTATAGGCGTGCACCACCACACCCTTCTAGCCTGTGCACTTTTTGTGGCCCATTTTTATGCCTCTGTAAAATGCTATTTCTTCCACCTAAAAAAACTCTTCCTTCTATGAGCCTCAGCTTAGGGGCCGACTGCCATAAGAAGCCATCCTTTGTCTTCCAGGTGCTGTTAATTTCCTTTTGTGTTCCTGTGGCCCCTTTGGGATGTTTGAGCTGTGATGTCCTTGTGTTTTGGTATCAAAGATTGAACCGAGGAGCTTGTGCTTGCAAGGCAGGCGTGGTGCCGCTGAGCTAAATCTCCAGCCCTGTTGTGTCCATTTGTTCGGTGTTCCCTTGGTGTTTAAATATGCACTACCTCCCACCTCAGTGTAGACCCTGTAAGCATCTGGATGCTTTTGTCCATGTGCCCTCCACTTGGCACAGTTGGAGTCAAGTAAACATTAGTAGGCTTACGGAGAAGGTAGAATCTTAGGGCACGCGCACGCACGTGTGTGTGTGTGTGTGTGTGTGTGTGTGTGCATGTTGGGGAAATGAATAGCCTGACCTGACAGGTGTGATCTAAAAGGTGAAGTTTCAACAGGGGGAAGCGAAGGGAAGAAGTTTGGAAGTCAACAAGATGATTTAGACTCTAGATTGTTTTGTATGTATTTCAGTCCACACACTTTTTTTCAGCACCTAGGACTGCACTATGTAAATCACTTTTAAATAGGAAGGAATCCCTCAGACCCACATGTTATATGGCCCCAAGGACCTTACTGTTTATAAACCTTCACTGGGCAGTAAGAAGGCTCAAGAATTCTGGCAGAAGCTAAAGACTTATCAGTCTTTTTTTTTTTTTGTACTGGGGATCGAACTTGCAGGCACTGGAACCACTGAGCCAAATCCCCAGCCCAAGACTTATCAGTCTTGATGGATCTGTATCCCCTGGGCAGACAGCCCTGAGGGTGGGGGGACTGGTTGATAACAGCTGAGCTTGCCTGGCCTTTTTCCTGTTACCACTTCCACCAGAGAAAGGCACCCTTGCTTTGTCTAGGAGAAGCTGAGCCCATCTCCTCTTCTCTTCTTCCTGGTGAACACAGTAAGGTCTGTTCATGGCATGGTAAGTGCTAGAAGAGAGAACTTGTGACTCTAAGCTGAGAACTGCAGCTACTTGATTGGAATCTTTTCTTTTAAAAAGTTACTGAGGTTTGGTTTTTCTGGGCATTTAAAAAACAGTGATATGTACAGTATAATGCTACTTGTGTCAGAAAGAAGAAACAGACCCAAATACTTCATGTGGACATATTTTAATATAAATGCCTACAAATGGGCTGCCAGGACACCAAACAGATGCTGAGTGGTCTCTGGGAGATGATGGAGATTGTAAGTGTAGTCCCAGGTGACCCACCTGCTCTGTAGCATTGTTTTATTTCCTGTTTTTGTTTCTTGTGTTTTGGTGCTGAGCATCAAACCCAAGACTTTACACATGATCTACCACTGAGCCACACCCAGCCCACATTATAAATTTGTGAATGTGTGTGTGTGGTACTGGGGATTGAACTCAGGGCCTTTGCACAAAATCACCCACCTGCTTTATTTATGAGTATTAAATCTCCCAGGCTGAGCTCAAACTTAGGATCTTCCTGCCTGAGGATCCTCTCAGAGTACTTGGAATTACAGGCATGTACCATTACTCCCAGCTTCTTACTTATATAATTAAAAATCAATTTTAGCTGGGCATGGTGGTACATGCCTATAATCCCAGCACTTGGGAAGCTGAGGCAGGAGGTTCGCTGCAAGTTTGAGACCAGCCTGGGCTACACAGTGAGTTCCAGGGCAATCTGAACTACATAGTGAGAACCTGTCTCCAAAAAAAAAAAAAAAAAATCAACTTTAAAATGTTATGTGTTCATTGTTTAAAAATTGGAAACTGGGCCGGGGATTTAGCTCAGTGGTTTGGTGGGTGGCCTGCCTTGCAAGCGCAAGGACCCGAGTTCGATCCCCAGTACCAAAAAAAAATTTTTTTGGGAAACTATATTCAAGCCACAATCCCTTGCTGCCCCTATCCACAGAGATAACCAGTAGTTGCTTTGGAATTTCGTCCCACTACTTTGTTTTTTAAAATCTGTACCAGTATATGAATATATGTACTTTTTTTAAACCTCAAACTGATTATATTAAATAGAGAGTTTTGTATCCTGTTTTCTCTTCTCTTAACTTTTCCCCGTGCCATTAAATACTGTCCAAAAGCATGGTTTTTAGTACCACCCTGTGTTCCCTGGGTACAACCATGCCCCCTTTGTTAGATACACTTGGTTCTTTATACTTAAAAGTTCCTTGGAGGGTCACTGTTTAGAACAGCCAAGTGTTGTCATTACTGTGAGTTGGCAAATGGGCCCTCGCTGACTAACCTCTGCCATAGTAACACATGGTTTTTGCATCCGTAGCATCCTGAGCAGAAGGCCGACCGGTATTTTGTGTTATACAAACCGCCCCCTAAAGACAACATTCCCACCCTAGTGGAGGAGTATCTGGAACGTGCCACCTTCGTAGCCAATGACCTCGACTGGCTCCTGGCCTTGCCTCATGATAAATTCTGGTGCCAGGTAACATTCTATCAAAATTAACACTTAAAAAAAAAAAAATTGAGGGTGAAGGGAGGGTGGGGACAAGGGGAAAAAATGAGAACCAAGACCTGGCATGTAAAGGTACAAGATCCTAGTAATGAATGTAACTGTACTGTCTACCTAGAATGTACCAATAAATTAAATTTAAAAAAAATTTTTTTTGAAAAGCCAGGTGTGGTTGCGCACGCCTGCAATCCCAGCACTCAGAAGGCTGAGGCAGGAGGATCGCTGTGAGTTTAAGACCAGCCTGGGCTACATAGTGAGTTCCAGGTCAGTCTCAACTACATAGTGAGACCCTGTCTCAAAAAACAAATAAACAAAAAGAAACAAAATTAACACTAAGACAAAGCATATAACATACCCTTGATTGGTCGCTGTTGTTGTTTTTCTTCTCCTAGGAGGTGCTTTTTTCTCTCCTTCTTACACTGGATCCTTAACAGCAAATTGTGGTTTGGATCGTTATCTCCTATCACAATTTTAATGATGTTAACACACCTTCAAAAGTGTCATATTTTAGAAACTTGTGCTTAGTCCTTGGCTCATTTGTGCCTCCTTGGTTCCTTGGGGTTGGAGTATGGCAGTGGGGCTGTGAACCTACAGGATAAATCCTTGCTGTCCCCTGTGATCTGGCTTAGGTAATCTTTGATGAGACCCTGCAGAAGTGCCTAGACTCCTACCTGCGCTATGTGCCCCGTAAATTTGATGAGTGGGTAGCACCAACCCCTGAGGTTGCTGAGATACAGAAGCACCTGCATCGGAGTGTTTTCCTCACCTTCCTCCGCATGTCTACACACAAGGAATCCAAAGTAAGTCCCTGCTCCCATGACCGGCCGCCTCCTGACACCAGACACCTCTGTGCTGATTTTCTACCCTTGGGAAGGAAGGCTCTGGAAGCATCAAGTTTCCTCTTTGTCTCTCCTCCACCTTTATTCCCACCACTGGGGAAGAATCTGTGCTGCATCTTTATCCTCTACTTCACTGGGCCTCTGACACCCAGTGTTTTCATCAACGGGAGCCGAGGGCCCTTTGCCAGGTGACGCGTGAGTGTTCCTCTACTTGTGCGTCAGAGGGTAAAGACCTTGATTCTGACTTTTTAAACCCTGGCTAGGATGTAGCTTAGTGGTGGATTGCTTGCCTGGAACGTGTAAGCCCCTGGGTTTCATCCCCAGCCCTGTAGCAAAATAGTGATGATGATGATGTTGATGATGATGATGATAAAATCTTACTTTAAAAAAGAAGACAAACCTAGGATGGACATTTTCAAATATGTGCTTATGTAAAACTTTCCCATACAAAATACAGTGAACCCCATTAGCTATATTATCCAGCTTAACAAGTAGCATTTTGCCACTCTGATTTTCTCCCTCCCAGGGATCTGTTTTTTTCCCTGGAGTATTTTTGTGCAGTCCCAGACATCTTGGTAATTTACCTGTAAATATTTCAGAATGAACCCCCAGCTGGTTGTTTTCCGACACATTTTTGCTTCTCTTTATGTTAAAATTGAGAATGGCTGTTGTTCTAGGACTATATGTGAGGCTCTATGGACTATATGTGTCCATTTCACATGGGCTGGGCAGACTGTCGTTCACTAGCTGGTCCCCAGCTGGTGGGCCTACAGGGTATTTCTTAGGAGTTTGCTGCTGCTGTACAAAGCATGATCATTCGGAGAATTTCCATCCTTTCTCTCTGTACTTTTTCTTAGGATCACTTCATTTCTCCTTCTGCATTTGGAAACATCCTCTACAGTAACTTCCTCTTTGACATCCCGAAGATCCTGGACCTCTGTGTGCTCTTTGGAAAAGGCAACTCACCACTACTCCAGAAGATGATAGGTATGTAGAACGTGGGGCCCGGGGAATGCACGGAGGCTGTCGCCGTGTACCAAATCAGAGGTCGCAAAAGCTGACACTGAGATACTGCGGGGTTTTCAGAGCAGTGGGGCGAACAGTACTGGGAACTACTTAGCAGATATGCGAGTGTCGAGTGTCGATCCTGAAAGACTAGGTGGCAACTGGAAAGTGAAGACAAAAAATAAGAGGGTACCGTGTATGTAGTTCCTTGAGGATCTAGAAGTCTTAGTGTTAGGGCCAAGTGTCCAAAACAGTGACAGAAATGCGGGCCGGGGATTTAGCTCAGTGGTTCCAGTGCCTGCCTTGCAAGCACAAGGAGCTGATTTCGATTCCTGGTACAAAAAAAAAAAAGAAAAGAGGAAGTTTACTTTGGTGATGACAGAAAAACAGAACCAGCTAATCTTTATTTGAGTGTGGCCTGGGCCCCTGACATGTCAAGCATATCACACATCCCCATTGGGTCCTCACAGCAGCCCTCAGAGATAAGTGTTACTGTCTTCCCCACATACACAGATGAGGAAACCAAATTTAAACCGAGGGACTTGTCTGAGAGCACGTGACTAATAAGTAGCCATGCCCAGACCTGTTGCTATGGAGATCTGATCCTCAGGCTCTTGTTCTTTCTGTTCCTACTTCAGGGATGATGGGCCTGCCTCAAAAATGGCACAGTATACCACATAACTAAGGACAGATGGGACGGAGTTCAGAGAAGACTTTTGGATTATAAAAGGAATGGGCATTAGAAATTAGATCCCTTGAGGCAGTGGTGGGCCAGAAGTTTTAATCAGAAAAAGGAAAGAAAGAAACAGAAGCACTGATGGGATGTAGCAGAGGGAATGCCCCAGGAAATTTCTCTTGGAGTCAACATTTGTTTTTTTGTTTTTGTTTTTGTTACTGGGGATTGTACTTAGATGCAGGCGGTGGAACCACTGAGCTAAATCCTCAGCCCTGGAAATTTCTCTGAATTGCAGCTCATGGCATTAGGCCTAGCACAGGAAGGTATTCACCTGGACACCTCTTCCAGCCTTCCTCATCCCAAGATCATAAGGCAGACCCGGTCCTCTGAATAATGATTACAAAACTGAGTTATCCTTTTTGATAGTCTCCTTCCTTTTATCCTTCTCTTAAAAGTTTTGAAGGACAATAAACTATAAAGAAGCAGGAAAACAACTACCAGATTCCTGCAAAAGGACAACTATTTAGTTACTGGTTCCTTCTAGTCATTTTTGATTTTTGGGTTTTCTTTGAGACAGATTCTCACTATATATATATATATCTCAGGCTGGCCTTGAACTTGCCTTGTAGACCCCTCTGGCTTTGAACTCATGATCCTCCTGTCCCAACTTCCCAAGTCCTGGGATTCCAGGCATGCACAACCATGTTCAGCATCTTTGTATATTTTTTTGTAAAACTATTATTAGATCACAATGTATGCGTTTTGTACCTAGCCTTTTTCATTCAAACAATCTGTTTTCTAATTCAAATCTAACTATAGACTGATTACCATTTAATCCTTCTATTGTAAAATTTTCCCAGGAGAAGACCCTTAATAGTTTTACTGTAGACTGAGAGGATGGGGTGAATAAGTGACAGAAGGTATGATTAGTTAGGAAAACAATTACTTGGCCAGCGTAGTTAGAGTGGAGCATTGCAGGAAGACAGCAGCAGGGGGTGGAGAGGAGGAAGCTGCTCCGTGCCGGGCCTCAGCACTTGGGGGGTGCCATTGCTCAGTGGCTAAGACAGCAGGCCCCAGAAGTGAATGGCCCAGTTCACAACTCAGCTCTGTTCCTGGCTGCATCATCTTAACCAAGTCAGTGAATCGCTCTAAACCTCAGTTTTTTCCGTCTGGAGAATGGGGAGACTGATGACACACCTGCCATATCAGGTGGCTTTGGAGACTAAACAGGACGTAGTGTGAACAGCATGCCCAGCACAGAGCCCGGCACAGGACTAGTACTCAGAAAGTGTGCGCTCTTACTGTAATGAGGCTGTGGAGCCGAGAGCAAGGCAAAGAGCCATCTAGTGACAGGTTCCTGTGGCGGGTGGGGAGGTTAGAGACGGGAGGCCACACAGGATGTGAGAGCATCCATGTGCGTGTGAAGGTGAGAGTCTGACTGTAACTGAAACAGTAAAGGACATCTGGGAGGCAAAGTAGGGCTCCATGAGGTCATCTGGGAAGCAACGCCTTAATAGGTCTGGAGAAAACTGGTGGAATTGCAGAAAAGGCCTTTGGGAGGTGGGAGGTGTGATTGTGAGTAGGCATGAGGTCGCTGTTGGATGTGCCAGGCTCTGAGGGCCCCACAGGAGATGGCATGGTGATGGTGGATTGAGCAGCTCTGCCCACTGCCCTGGTCCCTGATCTCTTGGGTCACTGGCTCCTTTGAGAATCTGGTGAAAGACGGTTTCATAGATTTAAAGGTATTTTAAGTGTTCTTAGGTTCCCAGGTTGAGATCCTAAAGTGACTCATTAAGGAGAGTCCTTCTTTGGCTTCCGGAGGGTGGCTAACAGAACATAGGTTAGGACCAGACATCCAGAACCCTTCATTCTGTGAGGGTGTGTGCGTGTGCACACACGTAGGGTGCACACACGGGTGCCTGTGTGTGTTTAGAGCGGCAGGTGCAGGAGGTTCCTGCAGTCAGTCAGTCTCTTGCTGCCTCTGTCCTTCTCCCTCTCGCCCCTCCCCTCCTTTGCACCTCCCTCTCACACACAACAGCTTTCTTTTCAATCCTCAAGCGCAGGGCACAGGGGCTGTCTACTTTCAATACAACAGAAATGCTTGGGCAAAGCAATCACTTGTGAGAGGACTGACAAGAGAGAAGGGCACTGGTTAATTGTCCTGTGAGCACAAGCCCAGTCCTTACCCTTCCCTTTTTCAAAGCTTTCAAGGCCGATATTGTGAATCAGCAAGTGTAGTTTTTAAAACAGAGCCTTTCAGTTAGTCTCTCTCGGAGCTGCTCTGCAAAACCAGAGTAAATTGGGTCATGGCCCTTTCCTGGACTGTACTGATCTGTTTGGCAGGATCTCTTATTCACCATGGGTTTCTGAACTGCTTTCATTGGAGAACGGGAGGTTCAAAGGATGCCGTTGCTGTCCCCAACTTTTTATTATTTCTTTAAGAGATCAGAAGCTAGAGAGATCTTCACTGTCATTGGAATCAGATAAAGGAGAGAAAAGGGACTCATAAGACTCCAGGGATCTGAGCTATCTTGATGCTTGAAAAACAGCATTGTTATAGGCTTTAACCCTGGCAGACAAAGGAGAGAAGGGACGCACGGCGGCCTCAGGGGTTGTGGGAGGAGACACCACCTGGAAGACGTGACACTGCCTTATGGTAGAGGTAGCTCTGGAGGGAGGGAGGTCATCTCAGGCAGTGGGAAGGGACAAGGCTTGTTGTATAAGGCTGAGGATGGCGGTGCAAGGGAGGACTACAACACAGGCCATGGGGAAAAGGTGGCCCAGGGTGCCAGCACATCTTTGGTTTTCTGGTCAGGAGTTCAGACCTGACTTTGAAGATCAGGATAGAGCTTTATGAAGAGGCGCAGAGGTTGGTAGGGGGAGAGCTCAGACATTCCTGGCTTGTGCAGAAGAGGACTTTCCACATGCACCTGTACAGGTTGCAGTACCACCGTCTTTAGTGGGAGGTAGGTCCTGAGCAAGCTCAGGCTAGTCAGACTGAGCTCTCTGAAGTCAAGGGGTGAAGCGGTATTTCGGGAAGAGGTGACGGTACAGTGACTAGTGACTTTCTTACTTTAGATGCTCTAGGATGGGACCGGGGCTATGGGGTTGTCAGTGAAGGAACCATGCCCAGCGACCAGCCCAGAAATGGAGGACACCTAGAATTCAGAGCGTCCTGCTACTAGGCTTAGATCCAAGGATTGTGGTGAGATGAAGAACCTTGGTCTCCTAAGGGCGTTAGCATTTGTCCTCATCTCATGTCCAGCTGTGGTTTTTCCTGCCTTCTTCCCGCCCTCACCATCTAGGGAGCAGAGCACTCAGTTTCTTCTCCCGTTACCATGTGCTCCAACCTACACATGTGCGGCAGCATCAGTTGGAGAATAGTAAACACTCAGAAGAGCCCCGGCTTTTTTTTTTTTTTTTTTTAAGAGTAGGAAAAATTTATTGAGAGAAAGAAAGCTTCTGTCTGAGAGAGACAAAAGGGGGACTGGAAAGTGGGCGTCGCACTCGCCCTCCTTCTCAAAGGTGTTTTATGGGACGTGGCCACGAGGTAAGGTGGGACAAAATGATAGTCAACTAGTGAGATTGCAAGTACAGTCGCCCAGGTCACATTGATCTGCTGAGAAATCACACGGTGGACAGAAGTATGAACAACCAATAAGGTTATAGCAAGTGTAGTCACCTAGGTAACATTGATCCAGTGGGGATCCAATGGGGAAGCCAGTCATAGAGCAAGCATACAAGGAATGAACAAGGATTTTCCGTGGTAAGGGGTGAGTCAGGGATCTTCCTTGGATGATCCTGGTCCCCCATCTAGGTGATTGATAAGCTATTTAGAATATCAATCCCTGCTATTCATACTGTGTGGGTGTGGTGGTTTCCCTTTTTTTTTTACACTGCTGGCTTTCAGTGACTATGTCTTGGTTGTCCACCGTGTTGGCTCCTCATGTGCTGGCCCTGTCCGACTGCCTACAAGACATCTAATTAACTTACCTGTCTGAAGAAGTCCCCCTAACTGCTGTGAGGGGGCAAAGGGAGAAGACCATTCTGGCTACTTCCGGCTGAAGAGCTTCGTAGCTGTGATCAGCAGTCAGAGTTACTCTACAGAGGGTCCATCTAAAGGTCCTCAATAAGCGCCAGGCATTGTCATGGGTAGGCTTTGAGTTTCTGACCAGTAATCTCTGTGGAAGACCTCCAGAGTGATATAGGGGGAAGAGGTGGAACTCCCAAACCTGCTAGGTATCTGAAATGCGAGTTGTGTTATCAAAAAAATCAAAGAATGAGCCAGGTGTGTTGGCACATGCCTACAAACCTGTCATCCCAGCACTAGGGAGGCTGAGGCAGGAGGATCGCTGCAAGTTCAAGACCAGCCTGGGCTACAGAGTGAGTTCCAGGGCAGTCTGAACTTCATAGTGAGACCCTGTCTCAAAAAAA